GTTGCAGCTAGATTGTTGACACGAGGGATTTTGGTAAATGAACAATGCAAGTTGTGCAACAATGGTGCCGAGACAATCTCTCATATACTCTTTGAGTGTTGCACGGCCCGGCGAATATGGCATTTAGGAAAAATTCCTCTAAGACAAACGGGATGTACGTCTACTGTYGAAGAAAACTTAACACATGTGCTGAACTTAGTGGAAAATCAAAGCGTGGAGGTGGAGAGGCGAGAGGCTATACCGTGGTTTTTATGGAATATTTGGAAGAATAGAAATTCGATTCTATATGCTCATACACAAGTGGCTCTGGAGATTTTGGTGGAGCGAATTTTGAGCGAGGCAAAGCATTGGCGTTCAATCAATTTGGCAAACKAAGTGAAGGAGGACCATTTAAGACAACAACAAATGGACCGTTCTTGTTGGCAACCACCATCACTTGGGTTAACAAAATGTAACATACATGCGAATTGGAGAAATTCAAGCTTACAAGCCGGGCTTGCGTGGTTATTAAGGGATCACAATGGCCAACCTCTAAATCATGCACGGCACTCAATCACCCCAACGGGAAACAGACTAGAGGCGGAATTACAATGCATTGTATGGTCTTTAGAGAGTCTACATGACTTACGTTTTAACAATGTCGTCATCGCTATGGAAGGCTCAAATGCTCTCGACGCGGTCACAAATCCTCAACATTGGCCAAGGTATCGGTTCCTTTTATACAAAATACAATGTCTATGCCAAGGTTTCCAAATGGTAAACTTTGAGAAGGAATGTTTTGCCTCAAATGCAATTGTAAGAGACATTGCGAAAAGTGTTTTACGAGATGGACGATTCCAATCGTATCTTGCGCTCGGTGGCCCTTCGTGGTTACATGATCGGTTAGTCAGTGAGTCGTGTGGGRATTAATCTTTGTATCCTTATCATTAGGTTATGATGATGCCTGGTATTACGACGTTTGTTTACTGTTTTTTCTTGTATTTGATTGCGAGCTTCTGTGGCTTTGTGTAATATTGGTTCTTCAAACTTTGTTACTTTTGTTAATAAAGATGTTAAAAAAAAAAAAAGTTTATTGAAAAATAAAAAGTTTGAAAGTTTACTTTTTTTCACTATCTTACTTTCACTTAAACTTTCACACTATGAAAAGAAAAAATTAAACATCTTCTAAACTTATTACAATATAATTGAAACGCAATACAAAATAGAGCGGATATATCATCTCGAAAGATAGACAGCAGATCCAAAGCATGTCTTAAATGCATCAAGAGGTCTTCACGGAATGCCGAAGAGTCTAAGATTGGTCATTTTTCAATGTAATGTTGAAATCGAACTCATACCTCCAGTAATCACGAAATGAAACCGGTTGTTTCTTCTGCCAGACCGCTACATAAGAAAACAAGAAGATCATAAAATTCTTAAAAATTCCTGACGTATAGCTCGGAAATATTACCATTCTCAAAAAGGGAGAAGAAAATGGAAACGTTTTTCTCCCGTAGGAGAAGATGGTGAAACTGATCTCTTCCTAAAGGAGGAGGAAGCTGGAATTGATCTCTCCACTAGGGAGGAGTTT